TAAATTCTACTTCATCAAATTAAAAACATTTGTTCTGTGAAAGATGCTATCAAGAGAATGAAAAGAACGAACTACACCCATAATATGCCGAAATTAAAAAAAAGAACGAACTACAGACTGGGAGAAAATAGTTGCAAACCACCTATCTGACAAAGGACTAGTATCTAAGATATATAAAGAACTCTTAAAACTCAACAGTAAAAAAAAAAAGCAAACACAATAAAAAAATCATAGAAAATGGGCAAAAGACACAAAGATGTTAACTGAAGAGGACATACAGATGGCAAGCGAGTGTATGAAGAGTGTTCAAAATCAGCAACCATTAGGAAAAGACACATTAGGAAAATCACCATGAGATATTACTCCAAACCTGTCGGAGTGGCTAAAATAACATACTGACAACACCAATTGCTGGCGAAGATGTGGAGAGACCAGACCCCTCGTACATTGCTGGTGAGGATGTAAAATAGTGCGGTCACTCTAGAAAACGGTCTGACAGCTTCTTATAAAACTAAACTTGCAACTGAACATGCAACTACTGCATCGCCCAGCAGTGTACTCCCGGGCATTCATGCCAGAGAAGCAAAAACTTACACGTGTTTGCACAAAAACCTGTATGTGAATGCTTACAGCAGCTTTGTTTATAATAACCCCAAATCAGAAAAGCCTAGAGGCACTTCAACAGGTGAGTAGTTAAACCAGCGTTGATGCATCCTGCCATGGAACGCCACTCCGCGACAAGAGGACAAGCGACTGACACCTGCAACCCGGATGACTCTCCAGGGAGTTGTGCTGCATGCGAAAAGTCAAGGTCGCCTGCTGTGAGATTCCATTTATACGGAATTCTTGAAATGGCGAAATAGAGAAATGGAGACAGGTTAATAGTGTTGGGAGTTATGGATGGGGAGGAACAGGGAGAGTGAAAGGAAGTGGGTGTGGCTATTAAAGAGCAACAGGAGGGACCTTTGTGGTGACAGAAATGTTCTGGATCATGACTGTGTCAATGTCAGTATCCATCCTGCTTGGGACATTGCACAGTAGTTTTGACAATGTTATCGCTGGGGGAACTGGGTAAAAGGTACAGATATCTCTACATTATTTCCTACAACTGTATGTGAATGTCACCTGACGGTGACTCTCAGAACGTACTCATCTCCCCTCACTCACTCCCCAGCGTGTTTCAGATTCATTTAGCTTTTCGGTGTTAAATAAAAAGCACAGTAACAGCCAAGAGCATCTCCCAGTCATCGAGCCCTGCTATGCATGTGCCAGGCATGGCGCTAAGCCTTCAGTGGCATTTACAAAATGCTTCCAGGACATCTTCTTCATGTGGTCCTTACTCAGTGAGGCACGTGTAGCAGGTATCAGAGATGCTCCCACGTATTATAATACAGAAGAAAAACGTGATTGGTGATTTGCCCTAGATCATGTGGCCAAGCCATAGCCCCGGTTGGCCCAGAGTTCCTCCTCCCGGTCTGTGGGATCCTCTGACTCCTCCTCTTGTCACACAGACCAGTTTGCTCCCGGGATTTCTTCTCCAGTGCCACAGGGTGCAATAATACACAGTGATTTTCTAATATTGGTCAAATCCTAGAACGGGTATATTCCACTCAGGATCTGAGAACCCTAATGTATAAAACAGAGGAAGTAGAGGGTAGCAATTCTCTTTAAAAGAGGGCTGGTTTACAAAGGTCTTCCTTTAAATCGAGAGGTCTTTGAGCAAAACTGCTATGGGCTACGCCCTAGGATGGTTCCTTTTGCAGAGGGAGGGAAGCACACCTGCACTTGTTGGAGCAGGTTGGTGCTCGTGTTGCACTGGGTGGTTTCGTGAAACCCAGTGGTGCCCAGACTGGGGCCGGGGGCCTGGGAGTTTTTCCCTTAAAATTCCCAGCCTTTGTCATCAGTCAGACACGGAGGGAGCCAGCAAGGCACAGCAGCTTTGGGCTGCATGGAGCTGGCTTGAATCTTAGTACGTGACCTCCCAGGGGCATTTGTCCCAAAAGATGACTTTCTCCTCCTGAAACTCCTCCTCCTCCCCCCTTTCTCCTGTCCCCTCTATCTCCCTCCCTATCCTCTCCTTTCCCTTCCCGTTTCTTCCCCTCCTCGCCCTCCCCCTTCTCCTCCTCTCCCTCATCGCCATCCTCCTCTTCCTCTCCCCTCCTTCTCTGCTTGGCCTCAGCCCACCTGCCCCCCTGCTTGGCCCTGGCTCCTTTGCAGGTTCCTCCTGGCCTGCCCTCCGTGTTCCGACCTCCTCTGTCTGCAGTCACACTCCCTGCCTGCACCAATGAGCTCAGCCACACGGAGACCTCAGACACCTTACTTACACCAATGACACCAAAGCCCTGTCTGTCTCCAGCCCTGATCGCCGCCTCACCTCCAGACTCAGAGATCCGACTGTCCACTTGTCATCTCACCTGAGTGTCTACCTGACGTCTCCAATAGGATGTGTCCAAAACAGAGCCCCTGGCCTTCCCTCCCAAATACGGTTCCCCCAGCCGTCCCCTTCTCAGGGATGCCAACTCCACTCTCCCAGTTGGAGACCACACTTTCTCTAATGTCCCACGTCCAGCCTGGACTATCACACGGCCTCCTGATCATGTCTCTGCTTCCTCCCTCAGCCCTCAGTCTGCTCTCAGCACAGTGGCCAGAAAGATTCTGCAGAAACCAAAAGTGCATCATGTCACGTCTCTGCTCAAACACTGGCTCCCATCTCCCTGAGAGCAACAGCAAGGCCCTCAGGGTGGTTTCCAGGGCCTTCCATGATCTGTCCCTGCAATGCACACGCCTGTGCTCTGCCTTCATCTTCTCGCCTCCAGAAGCCCTCCCAGCCCCAGCAGCGCTGGTCCTGCAGTTCTTAGAACACGCTGTCCTCATGCCTTGGCCTGGGCCCAGGCTCCTCTTCCCTGGGTCTCTGCTCGGCCAGTCCTCCCAGCTCCTCCAGGACTGTACTCAAATGTCACCTCCCTGGTGGGGACTTCCACAGTGCAGCCCCTTCACTCTTCCCTCCAGCCCTCCTCCTCCTCCTTCTCTACTTCATTTCTCTCCTTAGTTCTTATCAACCTCTGCCATGCCCTCTATCTCATCAATATCTTGTGCACTGCTTGTTCCCCTCACTAGAACTAAAGCTCCATGAGAGCAGGATTTCTGTCTGCTTTGCTCATTGCTATTCTTCCCTCACCTGAAATAGCACTCGGGGCTTGGCCCATAACAGCTCCACAATCAGTATGTGTTAAATGAATGAATGAATGAATGTGCCACCTTCTAGCCTTGAGCAGGACGCCTGCTCTCTCTGAGTGTGAATTTCCACGTCTGTGAACTGAAGCTGATGCCCTGCCCTGCAGCGTCCGTCTAAGGCAAGGAGACGGTGTGTGCAAACAACCAGGCCGGTGCCCAGCAGGCAGTAAGTCATTGCTATCGTCACTAGGATTTCCGAGGAAAATGGAGCCACTTAAAACACATAACCCCAACCCAGTAGGTCAAGATCTTGCAGTAGATCTCAGAGCCCCCTCGACCTGGCTGACCCCCAGGTTGGTTATCATCCCCTGGCACTTTCCCTGCCGTGGGAAGGGGCCCAAACCAGTGCATGGCCACTCTGTTGAACAAGTTGATTGCAATTCATCTATGCATGCAGTGGGCAACATTTATGGCATCTCGGAAGCTCAGGATGCAAAGAAAAATGAGACTTTGCCTCTCTCCTCACGGAGCTCACTGCCCTTCACGGAAGATGAGCAGATAGACAGCTGATGTCAGAGAATGTGGTCAGCCCTGGAAGTTCTGCAGCCAGTCTGTTGCCTGCCCAACCCCTCCCACCCCCGTCCCCCGCTCAGCCTGGCATACACAGAATCATCTCAAGGTGCCCAGCAATCGTGAAAAGAACAAAATGAAAAGTAAACACACACTAGGCACATCCTGGCAGCAGACGTGCTAACTCAGAAGAGTTTGGCCTCTTGTCTAGGAGACCACAGACAAGACTCAAATTCTTGAGGGTCCCTCATGGCTCCGAGGGCTGAGAGCCTCCACCTCTGGGTGTCACCTGCTGGTCATGGTCTTGCTCTGTACAATGAGGGGCCACTAGGGAAGGGGTCCTATGTGGCTCTCTGGGCCAGTCGGGAGGACTATGGGAGCTGTAACAGAAGCAGGGGTGCTCCTGGCCCTGGCCCGGGCCCAGCCTCCCTGCATGGTGGGAAGAGCACCCTGGCATTCTGTCTCCCCTGTCCACAGCTTCCTTCCCCCTCAGCCTCCTGAGGGGCAACTCCCTGCCCAGTTCCAGAGGAAAGGTGTTCAGGACTACAAAAGAGGCCAGGCTCAGGGCTCCCCTTGCCATGTCCCTTGGCCCTGCTCCAAAGCATCCCACCACCCCTTCACTTCCAGCTACCATTTCCCCTGGGGGCCAAGGCCTTCCCTCAAATGGGCAACCCTCAAAGTGATTCACCCGGAGGCTGTGGGAGGGCCTTGGGCAGGACATCTGGCTCCCCTGTAAATGCTTGAGCAACAAGTGAATCACGAGACCATAGCAGGCGGCGGTGGGGGTGCGGGGATGGGGGGTTACGCCTTCCTTCCAAGCCAAAGTCCTCCAGAACAGCCTTTGTTGGACTGGGGTGTTTTCCCCCACGGTTGCTGAGGTGCCAGCAGTCCCTGCAAGATCCCACTTGACGAGGCAGGGTTGGGAGGCGGGCAAGAAGGGGAGTGCAGGTTTCTGGTTGGCAGGCGGCAAGTGGCAGCCTGTAGAATATTCTGGCATCCCGGGCCCTCTTGCTGGCATGCTCAAGCGGCTTTTCTCCCAAAGAACTCTCCAATGAGCACATCCAGAGAGCGCCTGGCTGGCCCCAAGGCGAGCTCTCCCTGCAGCAATGGCGGAGGGGTGGGGGTGGGGAGGATGGGAGGGGACAACTCCCTCTGGTCAGCTCAGGACCTTTCCCGAGCTGCTCAGAAAATGATGCAATCTACGTCCCTGAGCCCGGGTCACCAAAGTGCACACAGAGGGCCAGCTCCGCACTCACCAGCTTGGCTGCCTTCTGAGCCACACATGCAGACAGGCACCCCAGCCGGGACACGCGCCTCCAGAGGTGGTCGCGTGTGCGCGCGCTGGGCGGGGACGGAGGAGAAGCCCCAGCCCACGCCTTTCCCACACGCCCGGGATGCGCGGAGTGGGGAGGAGCCGCGCTGGGATCTTAGCAGCTGTTTGACGCTGGGCAAGTTACTGCACTTCTCTGAGACGTAGCTGGTAAAACGGGGTGATGACAGTGACGTGACAGGGTTGCTGCCAGGCTGCAGGAGGTGTCACCTGTCCAGCATCAAACAGGGCCGGGCATGTAGAAAGCACGTAAGAAACAGCAGCTGCTGTCTTTGCTGGTATGAGGAGACAAGGGAGGAGGTGGCAAGCTGTGTCCCCAGCCTCCGGGGACCCAGTGCCGGGGGGAGGGGGGAGGCTGCGCTCGCTCGGCCTGCTGCCCGGAGGGCCCTTCCCTCCTTCATTTCCCAAACCCGCTGAGCCCTCCAGACCCGCCTCCCCCGAGGGCCCCTGTGTCCCAGGCAGAGTCTGGGGAGTGTCACTCTGACTTCTGTTATGAAGCTGCGTGTTTCGTATTCTGAGTGTTTGCCTTGTCCTTCCCAGCTGTCACCAGCTGCGTGGGGGCAGGGATTCCGCCTCGGTCAGTGCTGTCCCCTCAACTCCTGTCCCCTCCCCACTGTGCCCAGTGAAGGTTAATCTAGCCCTCAGGCCCGGCTCCTCTCGAGAAGGGCCAGCAGCCCCAGGTGCAGCGATGTCTCCGAGAAGGCTGTGGACACAGGATGACTTGCTCCTTCCTCGCCATCTTCACCCTCGCTGCTCCCGTGGAGCCCTGCAGAGATCACCGCCCGCCAGCTGGAGAGCAGACAGCCGGCAGAGAGGGCAGGCGGGTCACCAAAAGCCACTCACTAAACGAACGGCAGAACCAGGATGACAAGGTGTCACCCCCTCAAGCTCAGAGCCAGAGCTCAGAGCCAGGCTTGGCTTGTGCCATGTGACTGCCATGAACACGACAACCTCTGACCATTCAAAAAAAAAAAAATGGTGATGCAATGGCTCATGCCTGTAATCCCAGCACTTTGAGAGGCTGAGGCGGGAGGATTGCTTGAGGCCAGGAGTTCAAAACCAGCCTGAGCAATATAGGGAGACCCCCTCTCTACAAAAAAATATATATAGAGAGAGAGAGGGAAAAAAGATAGCCAGGTATGGTGGTGTGCTCCTGTAGTCCCAGCTACTCAGGAGGCTGAGGCAGGAGGATCGCTTGAGCCCAGGAGTTTGAGGTTGCAGTGAGCTATGATGATGTCACTATACTCTAACCCAGGCATCCTCAAACTACGGCCTGTGGGCCACATGTGGGTGTTTTTGGCCGTTTGTTTTTTTACTTCAAAATAAGATATGTGCAGTGTGCATAGGAATTTGTTCATAGTTTGTTTTAAAACTATAGTCCAGCCCTCCAACAATCTTAGGGACAGTGAACTGGCCCCCTGTTTAAAAAGTTTGAGGACCCCTGCTCTAGCCTGGCCAACAGAATAAGACCCTGTTTCAAAAAGAAAAAAAAAATGGTAGACACCATGAGAGCTCAACTCAGGTCACCTCCTTGTGCAGAGAAAGTCTCTTGTCTTTAAAACTGGAACCCATGAGGGCGTGTCCAGTCCTCGTGGCAACTGTGCATCCCCGTGGCCAGCAACCAGCAGAAGCTGGGAAGAGACAAGGAAGGAGTGTGGCCCTGTGACACACTGATTTCAAATTTCTAGCGTCCAGAAACACGAGAGAATAAATTCCTGTTGTTTTAAGCCACCTAGTTAGTGACAGTTTGTCACAGCACCCCTGGAAAACTAATACACCCTCTCCCCCTGCCCAGCTCTGACACGAGGGCTGCCCTGATCAGCCCTCCCTGGAGATGCTGCTAGGGCGACTGCAAAGCACTCCTGTCCCCCAAGTTGTGGCCCATGTCCTCCCTGTCCCAGACACTACCCGACACGGAAAGGCTTTGCCATTGAGAACGAACCGTTGACTCAGACCACTTTCTGTAGACAGACTCAAAGTCACCACTGTGAATTCAGTTTTTTGTTTTTTGGTTTTTTTTTTTTTTCTCCCTGTTTCTTGGAAAGCACCTCTCAGGACCATTTCAAGAAAAACAAATTGTGAGGTTAGCCATCTATTCAAAGCGAATCATCATTTCAAGTTCCAATAACAAACCCGGCCAGTTGGGTCGCTAGGACAAGACTGGATCCACCGTGAGCGTGCACGTGACTGCAGGTCGGGCACAAGCAGGTCCCTGCGCACATGTCACCTGACCTGCCTCGCCCCCTGGGTCACCCCACAGGCAGCCCCGGTGGCTTGCTGCCTTCCCGGCCCTCTGCCCCAAATGGGCACAGAGCTGCATGCTCACCAAGCAAGAACGTTCAGGCAGCTTCCAAGTAAGGTCCACCACGTTGGCAAGTTTAACGGAATATTTTGAACCCATTTCGCCCCTTTCACCCAGACATCCCCAAAGGCTTGGTTATAACTGGTTTTATGTGTGCAAAGCTCCCTGCTAGGCCTCCAGGGGCTTTGAGCCCTCAGAGTCCATGAGTGACCCAAACCTGCGTGCAGAGCACAGGCCTGTGCCCGGCGGGGCTCAGAGTAAGCCCAGCACTTCTTTCATTCCAGCATCGCCCCGTAGGCCTCCCTTGGGCGTGGTGGCAGCAGAATGGGCCACTCTATGCCAGGCAGTGTGCTGGGCACCAACAATACACTGGTGACCCCATCTCTCCATGGGGCACCCGCTGATGTGTAGGAAAGTAGGGGAAAATGCAAACACCAAACAAGTAAATAAAATAACTCTGGGTTGAAGTAATTGTCATAGGGAAGCCCAGGAGCGAAGACAGAGAATGCAAGAGGACTGCCTCTCCACCAGGGGAGCAGGGAGTGCCCCCTGAGAAGGTGACACTCCAGCTGAGGCCTAAAGGAGAAGAAGGAGCAGCCACCGCAAGAGTCAGGGAACAGTATTCCTGCCAGTGGGAAGAGTAGCTGCAAAGATCCTGAGGTGGCAAAGACTTGGCCAGCGTTCAAGGGTTGAAAGACAAGTGTGGCAGGACTGTCGTAAGCACACAGGAGCCTGGAGCAGAGGTTTGCGGGGGTCAGATCATGCAGAACTGTATTCCAAGTTTGGATTTTATTCTAAGTATGGTGGGAAGCTATTGACAGGTTTTAATGATAAGATAATCTCCTCTTTTCCTTTTGCTTCTTCTGCTCCTTCTCCTCCTCCTCCTTCTTCTCAGACAGTCACTTTTGCAGCTCTGTGGGGAGAGTGGATTAGAGGCAGGCAGGACTTCAGGGAAGCAGCCTTTTTGGACCGATGTCGTGGGAGCCTGGACTTGGGCAGTGGCAATTGCAGGGAGAAGGCATGGCCAGATGTGCACCGGAGGTGCGATTCCTAGGACTTGCTGATGGGTTGGTGGGAGTGGGGGACTAGGGGAGCATCTCAGGTAGCTGACTGTTGCTCTTCACAGGGGTTTCTGTCCCACCACGGAGTGATACACCGGGCTCATGGGTGACCCCAAGGAAGCTGTTCTGGGATGGCCATCAGGGTCCCATTCAAGCCTCGCTGTCATCAGTAAAGCTGGACAGCTCTGCTCTTCTCTGGACTCACCTAGGTCTGGTGCAAGACGCCTTGGTGACACTTACCTCCCATGTAATAAGCCATAATTTTTCCTAAATTTGATAGTCTCCTTTGCATATGACAGGGCCACCCTTCATTTATTAATTGCCATAGAACACCTTGCCTGAAAGTATCTCCCTAAAGTGGGGTCCTATCTCAGAATCAGTAGTGAGCTGGTAAACCAGATCTCTGGAGGGTAAAAAACAAAACCCTGATTTGTAGCATTTACCAATTTCCATGGTGTAAACATTCCCACCATGGCCACTTGGAAGTTATCAACAATTAACCGACTCAGGAAATTACTGAACAGTTGACAGCTGGCTCTCACTAGCCTGTAGAAGCCAGCTCTAGCAGTTCTAGTCTGGAACACTATGCCAGACAGGTTCCTCCAAGTGTCCAGGTCAGAAGCAGAGTCTCCAGGAAACTTGGCAATGCACTGAGCTCATAGGTCTAGGCAGGAATATTCTCAGCAAATCACTGAGTGCTCAAGCGTGTCTGCGTCAGTTGGCTTCAAAACCAAACCTGTTACCAAGGCGACTTCTCTCCACTGATGTTGGAGAATGGCCTGGCAGAACATTCCCCAGGGGGAGGTTTTGGGGCAGTGGACGGGGAGTTAGAATATCTGGGTGGCAACTCTGGTTCTGCTGCTGATTGGGTCAGTGACCTCAAGCAAGTCACCTAACCTCTATGAGTCTCAGCCTACACATCCCCAAAACGAGAGGTAGATGATCTTTCATACTCAGTCACGGAGCGTATTCCCAGGCCTACAGGCCCAACGCATCACTACGTTTCCCGGAGAATCTGCTTCTGGCCCAGGCGACCATGTGGGTTGAGAAGCCGGAAGAGATTGTCGAGCACAGACTTCTAGACCAGCAGTCTCGCAATGCTGTCCTAGCGCCAGCTCCTACCCACCGGCCCTCTCTCCTCAAACGCCAGAGTCTGGGACGCAGGTAAGACTCATCAGAATGGAAAAGGAGGGTGGACAGAGACAGCTCAGGGAGGAGTAATGAGACTTCGTGACCAGATAAGGATGGCGGGAAACTCAGCAAATAAAGACTCAAGGTGGCTCCCAAGGTTTCGCCAGTATGATAGTTTCCCACACCAGGTGGAACGGTATGCAGAACAGCATCTTGCAGCTTTCTCTGGCCAGTGAAACCGTGTTAAATGACTACAGAGTCTGCACCTTCCAAAGTTAATGAAGAATGTTCTGGATTGTGCCCCTAGTGCCCTTCTTGGGAGATGCTACCAACACAGCTCTGTCACCTTGACCAGGGGCCAAGTGTGGGAGACACTGCCTAGTGCACCAGCCACGAGAGGCCACGGGGGCAGCTGCACTGCCTTCCCACCCGAAGGTTGGGGACCACCCCCACAGACGAGTGCCCCTCCACCACTCAGCCACCTCCTCCCCACGTGCATCCCGAAACAGGGTCCTCATTCCACAGTTGGCGCACCCACCACCCTCTTCTGCAACCTCAGCTCTCCCCTTCCTAGCGCAGAGGCGAAAGTAGTTGAGAAGTCAGGGGAGGGGGACCGAGAGATGTTTATCCACCTAGACAGCAAGGGTTGAGTCTTTTCCTTCCTTGTTCTCAAACTTTCCTGCACATACTGAGGACATCGGCTGTTGACACACAAAATATTGAGCCGACCTTGTCTACGTTCTTAGCACCTTATTTGGCTGAATGTGCCTTTTCAAAATCAAGATGTTCTGAGGGGTTTTTTTTTAAAATAAAAAATATGAAAACATCCCCAAACAGAAAGGAGTCCTGAAGGTAACCATATAAAAACAATCTAAGCTGAGAAAAATAACCCAATCCCGCCAAGTCCCAAAGAGAACCTTGGTTTCCAAGGGACGTCAGCGGAGTGCAGAGCTCCTGGCAAGTGGGTGGGATGGAATGCTTGCACTCCGTCCAGATAAGCAAACATCCTCCAGGATCAGCATCCGTGCCCCACATGCCGTGGCTCCAATTTGCTTCCTGTTTTTGGGCCTCCCAGAAATACATTTCACAGACTCTTTATTTTCATCTCCCCACCTTGAAAAGCACAGATTTGCAAGTGTGGGTATCTTAGCGGGGAGACAAATCCGGCAGGCATTCGAGATATTTGGGCAAGAAGAAATGCATCTCATCGGAAATTTTCCATTGCCAACACTTTTTTTTTTTTTTTAATTCCCAAGATAGATGGGTTTTTACTTATAGGACTAAGGGCTCTATTATTTTTCAAATACTTTTCTGCTTCTAAGGAGTCAAGAAAATTGGTCATGCACTGGCCAGCTGATCTAACCTCAAAAATCTTCTGACCTTAATGAAAAGGCCCTAATTTTTTCCTTGCCTTTAATAAACGTTTTTTTTTTTTTCTTCTTTCCAGCAGTAGTCAGGGCGTGGGGTGGGCAGGCAGGGTGCCCAGTGTATGCAGACAGGCAGGAACACAGAATTCATTAGGA